ACGTAAAGGCTTGTCTTTCTCAGAGAAATTGGCGATAAAATGCCTGCAATATGAGCACATTCCCAAAAATGAAAGAAGTTCCTTTTTGTTTGAGGGCTTCGGAGCATCAACTATTGCCGTCACACGCTTTTGTGACAAGGTTTTACCCTCAGGGGTTATAATGTGACCCAAAAACACAACATTTTGTTTGACAAATTGCAACTTTGAAACAGAAGCTTTGTGGCCCTCCTCAGCCAAGTGTTGGAGAAGCTTAATTGTGTCCTCTTCACATTGTTCTTTTGTGGGGCTAGCAATCATCAAATCATCCAAATAATTAATCAAAACAGTCCCGTCTGTCAACACAAGAGACGCTAGACTGTGGTTGAGAGCCTCACAAAACAATGAGGGGCTTGAGTTTAGGCCCTGACAAAGTCGTGTGAAAGTGTACCTTTTCCCATTAAAACAGAAGGCAAACCAAAATTGTGAATCCCTGTCCACAGGCACAGAGAAAAAAGCATTTGATAAGTCCACCACAGAAAACCACTCTGCATCTGCTGGTATCTGACTCAAAAGAGTGTGCGGATTAGGCACATTGGGAACAGGAGAGATGATCGCAGCGTTCACCGCCTTCAAGTCTTGCACAAAACGCCACTCTGTAGGTTTATCTGCTGGTCTAATTTTCTTTACTGGAAAGATAGGTGTCTGCACTGGTGAGTCCTCACATGGGACAATAATGCCCGCCTCAAGAAATGATTCAAAAACAGGTGTAATTCCTTCTATGGCCTCCTGTCTCAAAGGATATTGACGCTGCCTCGGTCTATAATCAGATTTAGCTTCAATACGAACAGGTGGACAGTTTTTGATCAAACCAACATCATGTTTACTTTTTGCCCACAGACTGTCCGGTACTTGTGATAACAAAGGTGAAATCTCAAGCGGAGGAGAAGTCAAAGAAGTCAGAGTCAAATTTGGTCCGTCATTGTCATCATATGAAGACGTCAAAAGCACTGAATTTAGCACATCAGCTGTCTTCGTATGAGACATTTTATACGCGCAAACGGATTGTGAATAAAACACATTTTCTCCACGGTCACACGCCTGCCAATCCTTTGCCAAAGTACATCTGCGTACAAAAAAGCCTAAGGTTTGCCATGTGTCAGCTTTTGCTTTTGCAATTGAAATATGAGGACTTGAATTTTCAAGACGATAGCATTGTTTTTGTGACTGGCTTAACTCTACTGAAACAGCACACTTGAAATCATCAAAGTACACGTCAGCAATAATCAAGCAGTCATTTGAGCCCAGTTTAAACGTTTCTTCAAATTCACAATCAGGGCTATGGTGTAAATGACACACACAATGCAGGTCCTCAGCTTTCAATATATCAGATTTTGGATTAAGAAATGGAGATGTAGTCTCCATCAAATAACTGGCGCTGGCGGGGTGAGCCCACCACTGATATACAGACATAGGACAGTTTGTGTTTACTTTGACAAAATTAGTTGCGCACGCACCTCTGTCTATTTTAAGGCCTTCTGCTGTCGATGTGATCACAACTTCCCATTTTATCATTAAATCACGGCCTAACAAGTTTACAGGACAAAGGTCAGACATCAAAAATGAATGTTTTGCTGTTGCTGGGTTACGCTCGTTTGCCCAAGTGCATTTGATCGGAACAGAAAAAGATTCCGGTACCGTTTGTCCACTGGCACTTGTGGAAAAGACACTTCTACCACTTAATTTGATTGAGAGCTCCTTTGTCTGAATCACACTGTGGGTTGCACCAGAGTCTACTAAAAAAGTGATCGGTTTACCCTCAATTTCACAAACAATAGTTGGCATTTTCCTGTAAGCTTCATTTTCATAAGCCAAGTAGGTCCCTGTGTTGGGCCTGTCACCGCCCTCTAACTCCCTAATTCTATCCTCAATTAAGCCAAGCAGTGAATCAGTAGCAAGCGCGTCTTCATTGCAGTTAGCAGTTAGTGTGTTGTGTGTAAGAGTGTGTGCATTACTCATCTGTATAGTTGCTTTCTCGGATCCCACGTCAACAAGACATCAATCTGAAGAAAATCTCTGCTGGTCCTCCGGTCTCGCACCCCGTCCACGTCCACTCCAGCGTCCCGCATCTCGGCGTGGCTGGGGACAGTCACGATTCCAATGTCCAATTTCACCACAGTTGAAACATTTGTCTTGGTCGTCATGGTCACGATCGTTCTCGAAATGTCCGTTGCCACCTCTTCTCCGTCCTCTACCACCACGACCTCCACGACGGAATTGTCTGCCCGTCATTTTGATCAACGTGAGGTTGGCCTGATGCTGGGCCGTCTCCTGCGCGCCAGCTTTCACAGCGTTCTCCTCAGTGTTCTTTATTTCAGCATGCTTTGCGTGTCTGAGGATTTTGCAGTGTTCTTGTACCGGATTGGTCAAGAGCACGTCATCCACATAGGTGATGACCTGGCTATTGTGAGGCGGTTGCCAATTTGAGATCAATTTGTCAATGTTCTGCGAAAATATAGTTGGTGATTCACAATAACCTTGGGGTAAGCGTGTGAATGTGTACTTTTTCCCACGGTAACAAAACCCGAACCACTCCTGGCTCGCCACGGTCAATGGGATGGAAAAGAACGCATTCGCTAAGTCAATTACACTGAAATACTTAGCATTTGGATCAATGGTGTTCAATAGCGTGTGTGGATTAGGAACGTTGGGTGCCCTCTGCACTACTGCCTCGTTTACATGCCTGAGGTCCTGGACCATGCGCCAGGCTGTAGACGGAGGTGCCTTCTTTACTGGAAATATTGGGGTCAAACACGTCACTTCAGGAGCCAATCTGATCACTCCTGCTTGTAGTAGGGGGTCAATAGTAGGTTTTATGCCCTCGTCTGCGTCGGGTTTCAGTGGGTACTGTCTGATCCTGGGTCTGTATTCATTCTTTGGTATTATTTCCACAGGTTCTACGCCCTTCATAAGCCCTACGTCAGCAGGTCCTTTACTCCAGAGTTTGTCTGGGATTTGTGCCAACTGCTGTTGTTCTTCAGTTGAGACAAATACCTGTACTGTCGGTCACTTCTCCTTTAAATGTACTCTGGGGATTCCCACTGCCCGGAAATTTAACCGGAAATCATCATAAATGGGGTCAGGTCCCGGTGCATCCTTGTATCTGAGTGTCAAGTGTAATTTGTCAGCGCTCTTTACTCGAGCGGTCTTGGGGATATACTTTTGAGCTATGGCGACTACTGTGTCCCCCACCGAACACGGAGGCTGATTATTTAAATCAAGGCTCCACCAGTAATGTATGTCTCCGGTGTTTTGTACCACATAAAGTCCTGGTCCGGTGAGTTTTCCTTTGGTTACAATCAGCGTGTTATCTGGTCCGGTCCCCACAATTAGTCCCAAATTTGAAATTAAATCTCGTCCTAATAAATTGTGTGGACAATGTGGGGCTAACACCACGGGAAGCTCCACTTCCGAGTCTGGGTCGTCAGGGATCTCTATCTAACATGGCTTGCTCATCTTACACTCAACAGGTTTTCCACTTGCACCCATTACTCTAATGGTTTGTCGGGACACTGATATGTGTTTTATGTCTCTTAGTACAGTCATTTGTGCCCCTGAGTCCACAAGGAACAAAATAGGTGTCCCTTCAATCAATAATGTTATTTCAGGTCTCACTGCCCAATCCTGGGGTGTGGAGGACAGATATAATTCCAATTCTTCTTCCTCCATTAGATGATCGTTATCCCAATTTAGATTTGACTCTGAGGAATCACTGGACAATTCATCCCTTGTGGTTTCCACAGAGTCCCCCAATACCGGGAGTCATGCTTCACTGTCACTACTCTCCGCTGCTCTCTCTTCTCGCTTCTTTCCCTTAGACTTGTCTGGTTTCTCTCTTTTCTTAGGGCATTCAGCCATAAGATGTCCTGCCTTCCTGCATATAAAACACAGGCCTTTCTCCCAACATTCTTGCTTATCCTTGTCTTGTCCTGACTTTCTGTAATCTCTTTTTCCTTGGTATCCACCCTTTCCCTTGTTGCCCCTCCTGGGTTTGTCCACTACAAAGGTAAGAGTCTCTTGTTCTCCTGTATACATAATGGCACGGTGTGTTGGAAATGTGGTTCGAATTTGTGCCACTTCATTTTGAAAAAATTTCTCAACATGTCTCGTGTTTCTGTTACGTCTAACCGGAATGACAGAATCACAGAGGTGAGATCCTCGATAGCATGCTCTACATTATTTTCTACTTTTCTAATGCTATCTACAACCTCCTTCAGTTCCCCTGGAGTCCATGGCCGATGCACATATATCAATTGTTCACCATCCTGTCTGGGATTGGGCAGGGGAATCATTGGGAACGCACTGCTATCCACATGATAGTAGGGGCTGGCCACGAAGGGATTGTACGGACTAAAAACGTACGATCCCGTAGCTTGGTCACTGGGGGTTTTTGGGGCTGAGGCAGCTTTTTGCTCCTCCAAGAGTTTTGTTTGTGCACGTGTTCTGCCTTCTAGGGCATTGCTCATGGTCAAATCGGCAAAATTTCTTGTTAAATCTTCAGTGGTGGGTAGGGTAGGATATAATCCTCCTTTAGTGAGGTCTGGGGACATATCCCTACTAGAGGATATTTCACCGAATGACTGGGACTGCCTTGGCCCGGACCGGTAGTATGGGGGGGGTGCCTCTGTCTTTAATGTCTTTGGTGTGGATGTGGTGGGTCTCCTCGGGGTGTTTACTGGACTCAACTCACCCTCCTCATCACTTTGATCTGCTACTAGTTCTGGCCGCCTTGCCCTTCCCTGACTGTGGCTGCCGTCACTATCCATCTGTCTGATTTGTTTGGTGGTGTAGATTTCTGTTTTCTCCTTCTTCTGATCCTTCAAATATTGGTTATAACGATTATGTAGGGCTTTAGCAGAATACATCCAATTTCTGGCTGCAAGGGTTTGTTTTCCTGCATAATCTTTCCCTTTTTGTTTCAGTGCATCTTTTAGATTCTGTAACAATTTTCCAATTTGGTCAATTTAGAATGTGGGCTGCCACCATTCATATCGTTTTTGCCATTTCTTTATGAACTGCACTGAATGGGGGAAACATTCCCTCATCCACTGCTCTGCGTCCAGAGTACGTGGATCACAGGGAATCTCCTTCCTAGATTTCTGACTCTTCTCTTTCGACTTTGTCTTTACCACCGCTAAGGTAACTCTCTTCCTCCCGGTCTCCTCCTCCCCACTAGAGTCCGAGTCGCAGACCGGGGGTTTCTCCTTCTTTCCTTTACCGTTCTTTTTCATGGTTGTTCCCCTGTCTTGGGTCTCAACCACTGGTCAGTTGCACTCTGTCTTGAGTGACTACTACCCTGTCTTGGGTCTCAAACACGGTCAGTTACACTCTGTCTTGAGTATAAAGGATCGCTCATGTGATATTTCACAACGTGTGAATATTCACCATTCAAACAAAGCACACTTGCACCATTAAACCTGGTCCACAGCTAAGTCTGATCTTTCACTCTAACATAAGAGATGTTTCTGACCTTTCGGTTGATGGTTGGTCTTTACACTGGGACCAATCCAGTCCTCAGCGCAGAGGACGGTGAGGAGAGGTTGCCACGTAGAAAGGTGGGTTTCCGGTGTTATCCGGGCCTGGCCAGGCACTTGTCCAATCTCCCGTCCTCGCCCTCCACGTCGAGTCCTGAATCCGGCTTCGAAGGACCAAAGTCTGTCAGGGAATGGCACCAGGCACTGAGTGTGGTGACTGACAGATCATAGACCCAAAAACCACACAACCTGAAAGTTCAGAAAGAGTTTACGTGATCACGGGGGAAACGCATCAAGCCATCAGACTGCTAGGACACATCCTGTGTACTAGCAGAGTGATCTCCCAATGTGCTCCTTTCCGGACACAACTTTTATTCGACACAAGAAAAGCAGGCGTGGTTACATTACACAATACCATATTTGTTCATAAAGAAAAAGCAGTTAATGCAGTTGGTGCGTCTAGTGACGCCCCCAACTCAACGTACAAGCATCTCAAACTTTCCGTTGCTCTTATCACTTCAGAGAACTGTTGTGCTAACGCGCGTCAGCCACATCCTGTCCCCTTTGCGCACACTTTCACATCCTGCTCCCCTGCACAATACTTTCATGACATTTGTTTAACCCATAGAAAAAAGGCAGTTCTGCTTATAAATGCACATACAATAAAACAAAATAAAAACCTGAACATAAACCCTGGACATTCTTTCACACAATACAATTACATTTCTTATTGGCATTGCTCCTCAGGGTTATGTTACCTTTATTTCACAGGCATGGGGAGGGAGGACCAGTGACAAACAACTTACAGAGAAGTGTGGCATCTTGAATAAGTTGTTGCCTGGAGATGTTGTGCTTGCTGATAGGGGTTTCACTGTGAACGATAGTGTAGGCTTGTACTGCGCTTCTTTGAAGACCCCTGCGTTCACAAGAGGAAAGAAACAGCTGTCTGCCTATGATGTTGAAGAAACCAGAAAACTGGCAAGTGTCCGAATTCATGTTGAGAGGGTAATTGGCTTAGTTAGGAGAAAATTTCAAATTTTGCAGAGTAGGGCAATGCCTCTTGAACATATGGCTGTAAAAACAAGCAACTCACTGGCATTGGTTGATAAAATCGCTGCAATTTGCTGTGCGCTGACCAATCTGTCAGAGTCTATTGTCCCTCTGGAGTAAAGAAGTTATTGCATGTAAATAGTTGAGTGGTTTAATCAAAATGTAGAGCATTTAAATGTATTAAACACACAGGAAGCAATTGTCACCACGAGACAGATAACACTTCCAGTGTTGCTGTACCAGGGTGGCAAGAGAAGATTTATGGTTTTCAATTATTACTATTTAATCTTTTTCACACTCCCAAAAAAATTTAACAAACATCTTTAATCTTGTAAATAAGCTGTGATTAAAATTAATGTTCAAGAAAATGAATAAAGACCACTGAAAACATCCATCGTTCAAACCATTTATTTTTTACACAAACATTGAAAGTGCTATTTATTAAGTGAAGTAACAGAAGGATAGACAAACATTTAAAGAGTAAGAACAAACCACTTTATTTACATCTGTGTTGTGTTCATGTGACAACATTCACCTTTTGGTGGAGGGTAGTTTGCTAATTACTGTAAAGTATCTCACTTTTTTAGTCTTCGTTTAGATGTGATATGTACATGAAACATATCAACTAATTATTTTCTAAATGTCTAGTGTTGGTGAAACTATTTCAAAAACATGTATGCTGTTGGCCAGTAGAAACTTCAGAATAATTTAGGGCTTTGTGAATATAATAATGTAATTATGTTTTTCAACATGTTTTTATAAAAACTGCTATTTCTAAGTTATATTGGCCCCTGCCTCCAGCTGAAATAGAAGAAAAACGCAAACAATTGTTTTGTTATTCACGTGTGAATTTCTGCCCTAATATTTCGGGGAGGATGCCATGCGTGAAATACTGCTGAACAAAGGGGATCACAGTATCCCAGAGTTGTATGTCAGGCAGTATCCTTTCGATATATATATCATTTTTATTCCAAACTATGAAGTCGCAGTATTTTACATCGAAAATGTGAAGCTGAGCCTGAACCTGATAATAATATGGATGATTCCTGTCAAGCTGTACAAACTCTCCCTCCCTGATGAGACAGAATCCTGGCTGGCCTGCGCACATTTTCAGACTGACCTCATGCTGTTTGCTCTCTGGACACTGAAAAATAATGAACATTAAAGATTGGATCTCTAATGTTAACATAATCATGATTACTACATTAATATGTTAACATTTGTTTTTTAAAGTTTAATATTGAAATGGTGCTGTATTACAAGAAATGTGTGAATGTGACCGGTGTGCTCAGAGCACTGTGTCCCTGCTCTGGTCAGGGAAGCTTTGGGAGACACCAGGCTCTGAGATTAATCTCTGATTAAAGCATCATTTTATTGTGATTAATTGCATGAATTAAAGTGTTAACTTTGACAGACATAGTTAAAACTTGTGTTCCCAGATCGACCAACCCTACAGCAAAAAGTCTGCATTTGTCTTACCTTTATCTCACAAACCCCAGTTCCGTGGCAGTCACAAGAAACAAGTGCATCATGTGAAGCTCCCATGTAGGGCCACTTTGGATTTAGCCACAGCCCACTATCCACACAACAAAATCCCTCATGGGACTGGCCTACATTTGTTGTTCTTCTCGCTCCATGTTGTGCTCATACAGGGAATACAATGTATGTATTCAATATAATGTAATTATGTAAAGTTATGTATGTAGCCTATACTGGTGCATCAACAATACAAACACACATGTATGCTTACTGTAAAATACCCAAGAAATGCATAATTTACAGCTTAAATACATCAATAATAATATCGTAATTTGATTTTGTCATCATATAGGGCCCTTTCCAGTCCATGAAGTTCGTTAGCATAGCCGCTTTCCTCCATCGCGCGTTTGTTTTGAACAGGACGACACACTTCCTGACCCCCGCTGCTGTGTGGCTCCGCCCACTGGACAAGTGATCGAAACCCAGCAATTGCGAAAAACCCAGAAGTTACCATGAAACAGCTTGCGGTAGAGAGCAGACCCACAGCTCCTCCATCGTCGGAGAGGAGTTCTGGGAGTAGAGAGAAGGATCTATTGCTTTGTGGCATTCTGTTTGAATGGCCTCCTCCTCGGGAGGTGGTATTAGTAGCGGTAGTTTTGAAGGGAATAGGACCAGGATAGTGGCCAAAAAGCGTGATAGATCTAATTCCTCAACCGGAAAAGAGGGAAACCAGGAAGTGAAAATGTCTAAACTTACGGAAGAATATAAAGTTGTGATTAAAATTAGAGATCAAACTGCGGACGGTTTCAGAGGGGTAAACCCTATAAGAGTTGCCAAGTCATTAAAACCTTTCGGTGAGGGCCTGGATGCTCCTGTCCTGTCAAACGGGGCGGGGCGCTTCTCGTGTTTTGCAAGAGTAAGGAACAAGCAAATAAATTGAGCAAAGTCGGGAAGATTGCTGGAAAAAAAGTAATTGCCTCGATCAGTGAAAAAAGAGAAATGGTGCAAGGTATAATCTATGGCGTTTGCGCTGAAATTTCGGAGTCGGAAATCAAGGATAATCTCAGGGGCGGGAGTGTTAGTGAGGTTAAGCGATTTAAGGCCCGTGAAGGTGGGAACCCCAATGCCCCTGTCTTGATCTCATTCTGTGGGACTCTTTTGCCAGAGCGAGTATTTATAGGGTGTTTGTCTTTTCCAGTTAAAGTATATCAGAGACCCCCAATGCGATGCTTCAAGTGCCAGCGCTTTGGACACATGGCTGCTTCATGTAAAGAGGCTGGAGCAAACACCACGCCAGGTCAGGATCAGATAAGTTACTCCCTTCTGCAGCATTTGGATGACCCAGTGCTAGAAGAGATCCTTGTTCTGTTTAATTACATTTGGGAGGCTAGTTCAATTCCAAGGGCTTGGAAACATGCACTGGTGATTCCTATTTTGAAACCAGGAAAGGATCCGTCTTCCCCATTGTCTTACAGACCTATAGCTTTAACTGCAGTGCTTTGTAAGGTGATGGAGAGGATGATTACAAATAGACTGGTATACTTTTTAGAGGGTAATGATTTTTTTGTGAATTATCAAAGTGGGTTTAGAATTGGCAGGAATACTATGGACTCGGTTGCGGTGTTAGATAGAGATATTCGGAGAGCAATAATTAATAAGGAAGCTGTGGTGGCGGTGTTCCTTGATATTGAGAAAGCCTATGACAGCATGTGGCGGGAGGGTTTGCTTTTTAAACTCTTTGATGCTGGAATTAGGGGTAGAATGTTCCTTTGGATTAAGAATTTTCTTAATGAGCGAATAATTCAGGTGAGGATAGGTAATGAAATCTCAGAGACAGCAAGTATTTTGAATGGCACGCCTCAAGGCTCAGTAATTAGTCCTGTGTTATTTAATGTAATGATAAATTATATTTTTAAGTGTTAGTGCAGGGTTCGGAAAATCTCTTTTTGCGGACGATGGAGCCATTTGGCACAAAGGCAAAAATATTGAATTTTTAATTAGGAAAACTCAGAGGGCCTTAGGTCAAATAGAACACTGGGCAAACACATGGGGTTTTAAGATTTCCATATCAAAAAGTAACTATATGATTTTTGGTCTTAAAAAGAAAGTTCCTAATCTGAATTTGCAATTATATGGGCAACAATTAGTGAAAGTTAACGTGTTCAGATTCCTTGGTATGTGGCTGGATGAAAAGCTAACTTGGAAAATGCACGTTGATAAAACTATTTGTAAATGTGAGAAGGTAATTAATGTTCTGCGCAGTTTGGCTGGCAGTGATTGGGGAGCAGACAGGTCAATGCTGCATATGATTTATAGGGCAATGATAAGGTCAATATTGGATTATGGCTGTTTTGTATTTGGTGGAGCGGCAAAAACAGTCTTAAGGAAGTTGGATGTGGTACAGGCGAAAGCCCTTAGAATCTGCAGTGGAGCCTTTGCAACTACTTCTATTCCTGCTCTATTAGTTGAGATGGGGGAGACTCCTCTGAATCTTAGGAGGCAAAAATTGGGTCTCCAGTATTGGGTTAGACTAGCTGGTTTCAAGCTCAACTCAGCAGCCAAGTGCCTCCTGGAAGACTGTTGGGAGTTTGAAAAGAGGGAAGATAAAGCCACATTCTTAAGATCCGTCTGTCAGATGGCTAGCAACGTGGGTTTGGAGAATGGAAGTGTGGTTGGACTAGGGTGGTCCCCAGCTCCATTCTGGCTTTTACCAGAGCCTGAAGTCTGGCTGGATCTGGTGGGAATGGACAAGAGCCGAGCTAGTGCCCAAATAAATGATTTTGTGGAGTTTAAAAAGGATCAGTTGTATCATGTTTTTACAGATGGGTCAAAGGATCCGGGCTCGGGAAGGGCCGGTTTTGGAGTTTACGTGATTAATAAGGAAATTAGTAAGAGTATGCGTGTGTCAGATCAAGTATCTGTGTTCACAACTGAGTTGCTAGCCATCTGGTGGGCTCTTGATTGCGTAGAGAGGAATAATTTTGAATCCTCTTATGTTTACTCAGATTCAATGTCTGCTTTACAGGCTATATCTGCTGGCCTGTCTGGGGCCCGAGCCGATATAATCTTGGAGATTTTGTGTTGCCTCCGTCGGCTTGAAGCAAGGGGATCTAGTGTAGTATTTTGCTGGATCCCATCTCATTCAGGTATAGTGGGGAATGAGAGAGCTGATACACTGGCTAAGCAGTCTCTTCTGTGTGAGGAAATAGAGTATAAAATCTGTTTGGGAAAATTAGAGTGTATAAGTATCATCAAAAGTTTTGTGCAAAAACAATGGCAAAAAGTGTGGGAGAAAGAGAAAAGGGGGAGGCATTATTTTAATTCTCAGCCTCTGGTGCAAAATATTAGGCCTGTGTGGATATCTAGCCGGGCAAATCAGGTAAAGATTGTTAGATTGAGGCTGGGGCATTGTGGGCTAGCAGCATATTTGAAAATCATTGGCAAGCATCATGATGGATTATGTCAGTGTGGTCAACCTGAAACGGTGCCTCATGTGTTATTGTTTTGCGCTCTATACTCAACAGAAACGCAGATTATGTACAAGCAGCTGTCAGATCTTGAATTAGCAGTATTTTCAATAAAATCTATATTTTCCTCTGTAAAGAATTCGCGTTTGATCGACAAAGCAGTTGTCTCCTTCCTTCTCTCCACCAGTTTGTACCAACGAGTGTAATAATGTAGTATCAACCTGAACGGAAGAGTGCAGCATTACACTTCTATAGTGTACAGCCTGCCGGAAATAAATTAAGAAGAAGAAGAAGAAACAGCTAGCTAGCTTAGCTGTTACCTGCCTAGCACGTCTCGGTGAAACCTTTGGGAGCTAACTATTTTATTTGCAGTCATTAAATACATTTTGAATTATAAGGGCTGTCTAATATTTGTTCAAATATATGTAAGGGATAACGTATATTACGCAGGTCATTATCGGAAAATAAGTACCGACTTTCAGTCCACTTTTAGGAATCCCGAAAGGTTTATTTAATGACAGAAAATAAAATAGTTCCCAAAGGTTTTCCCGTGGCTATGCTAGTGCAACAGTTAGGCTGACAACTTCCAAACTAGAACTCCCTGGAACTTCATGAAAACTGAACAAAGAATTCTGAACATCAGCGGTGAGTGACCCATACATAAACCTAACCTAAATCCATAATTCGATCCTCTGCAAATGTGTCCGAAAATGTGCCGGTATCTTAAAATGTGCCGGTATCTGCTTCCGGGTTTTTCGGGATCACCTTTTCTCGCATTACATCAGTGTTTTTGTCATGAAAACGTAAACGGAAAATTCTGAAAACTTCCGTGCACTTGTATTAAGACTGGATATGTATAAATTACTCTCCGATTAACATTTCATTGCGTTGATTGATTGGCATTTGCGTTTATTGAGCGGCCGGAACTACTTCCGGGTTTTTCACGATCGCTTTTTGACGCAGAGAAATAGGATTTTTGTCATGTAGACAACAAGACCAGAAAATTCTGAAAATTTCCGTGCACGTGTGTGAAGAATGTATAGTATAAGTATTCTCCGATTAACATTTAAGTGTGTTGATTGAGCGTGGCTAGCTCCGGAGTGGCCAGAACTACTTGCGGAGTTATCCACGCATTTGAAAGACAAGCAGAGAGAGCGTTGCCATGGGCAGCGGTCATTATTGTTTTGAGAGGTCCGTAATAGAAAATAATGACCGGTAGAACGTTTTGAAATTACATTCAAATCAATGGAGCATTCTACTGCTGCTGTGAGGAGCCGTATAATAAATATATATATTTTATTTTAGAATTATATTCGAGTTTTGAAGTCGAAGCCCTGGTGTTAAGCAGCGCTGTAGGGGCTAGAGGACGCAGGCTGGTCGCTCCTTGTTCTGTGAGTGGAGGAGAACGAGCGTCCCGCTAAGACTCCACTCAGCACTTTTCACGGCATAAATTTCATACACAGCTGAATCAATGACCTCAAGTTTTCAATTAAATTATGTATTATGATACAACTTGTATGTAGTAAAAAGCATTTTTATGAACTACTTAGAAAAAAAAGTCGAGTATAGCTTCTTTAAAAAAGTTTAAATTATCTAATAAATTTCGTTCCACTTCACGATTGTGTCCCACTTGTTGTTGATTCTTGACAACATTTTTTTTTTTATATCTATATGTTTGAAGCCTGAAATGTGGCGAAATTTGGAAAGGTTCAAGGGGGCTGAATACTTTCGCAAGGCATTGTATATATGAATGAGCATCTCACCAAAGCGAACGCAGCAATTGCAAAAATGGCGTGCGACTTGAGAAAGCAAAACAAGATACAAAAAACCTGGACATCTAACTGCAAAGTCTTCATATAACTGAACGGAGCACCTGAGGAAGCAAAGATCTTCGTGATCAAGAGCACAGAGGAGCTGGAAAAGTACAAATGAAGGGCGGTAACAAACGCACATGGATACAAATACAACTGACATCTCAGGAAATCTAATACAAATGATCAATAACTATAATAATCCGGATCTGCTCTCGTCTGAATACACTGATTTCAACATGCAGGATGTGGAATATAACATAGACCCAGACAGTATAACTTTTTTTCCTCAGTTAATAATGCATCGGTTTTTATACAGCGCTTTTTTGGACACTCAAAGACGCTTTACATGTCATTATTCTTTTACTCCATACACGGTGGTGATAAATTACTACTGTAGCCACAGCTGCCCTGGGGCACACTGACAGAAACGAGGCAACCAGTATGTGCCATCGGCCCCTCCGACCACCACTAACCATTCACACACACACCAGACTCATTCTTGGCAATGGGGGTAAAGTGTCTTGCCTAAGGACACAACGGCAGTTTGGCACTTTACTGCCGCAGCCACCCCACTGTGGCATTACATTTCAGTAATGTCGATATCTTTTCACATCTGTCATTCTAAATCTTTGGTATAAATTGTTTAATTTGATCTAGAAATCTCTCTGTCTTTTGAGAAGAGAATGACGAAGTGTATAGATTTTGGTAAACTATGTTAATTTCTAGTAATCTGATGTTTATTCATTTTAATCTACGTTGCATGGTGACGTCAGAGGCGGAAGTTGAGCACGCGTGGTTGGGTTGAAGCCTCGCGGGAAAATCTAATAAAAACAAAAGTCCGTGGATCTGTGTCCTTAGCCTCCTCCGGCATTCTACACCCCTGTACCCGGGGAACACGAGCGTGGTCTCAGAGACAAACAGAGCCACACGTCCTCTACAGAGATCCAGTCACCGAGGCCGCAGCGTGAAGAGCTAACGGAGCTAACACACAGTGTGCTGAGACCTCTCCTGGTGCCTCTATCCCCGGGCTGGAACTTTTTTCCCCGCCTGGTGCCTCTATCCCTGGCCTGCAGCTGAGAACTGACCGCGGTGAATGATGGCAGAGAGACCTGAGGACCTAAACCTGCCCAATGCTGTAATCACCCGGATTATTAAAGAGGCGGTGAGTGCGGGGATTACGGTCATAAATACATAATTTTATTGACCAAACCACTTCTATCAGAGTTATTTTACAGTAGAACACGTCTCATCTAAAGTTGACCTGGGTAAAGCACAGGCTATCTTGCAACGTTAAAATATTTCCTCAAACAACATGCATTTAACTTTCTCCGTGACATCTCCAATGTAACAGGAACGTAGGACCATTCAACACTTTGACGAGAGAAGATCATAAACTGTGTCTGACACTATTATTCCATATATCCATATCTAGACTAAGTTTGAATCATGTCTCAGTGAGCGCGGCGGAGAGGTATCGATTTCGACATCGCAGTGTAGGGGCCCTGGCGCTGGGAAAGAGCTGGTTGAACTGTGGTCGACGTCAGATTCAGATCAGCTTCAGATTCATTTATTCGCCATTTTCAGTAAATCCACACATTGGAATACATTAGCAAAAGTCCCCGGTGTGCACAAGACCAGTACAGACATAAAACAACATTAAAAGTACAGAAATAAAAAAGTAAACAATTGTCACTATGAAATCGACCGACTAAAACAGTTTCTATACAAGTGCAAGATCATTAAAGTTCTCTGTTCAAACTGATATCAGCTTGTGGAAAGAACTATTAGCATAACGAGATGTACTGCATCTCAGAGAACAATATCTTCTGCCAGAGGGAAGAAGCTGGAACAAGGCTTTTCCAGGGTGGCCAGAAGAGTCGTTGATAATTCAAAGAGCTCTGTTTTAAAAGTCTGGATTTTTAAAGAACCTCCAGAACAGGAAGCTCACAGTCCTCTTTGCAGAGCGGAGCACCTTGTTTAAAGCTTGCTTGTTTGTCTGTGATGTTTCCAAACCACACAGACACAGAGCCAACAAGCAAACTCTCAATGGTGCAGCGATAAAAGTTAAGCAGAATCTTAGAGTTAGTGGTAAATTCTGTAAGTTTACGCAGAAAGTAGAGACGCTGACAAGCTTTCTTAACGACACGGTCAGTGTTTTTGACACATTTCAGGTCGTTGGACAGTTAAACCTAGAAACTTGCACTCCTCTACAATTTGCACCTGGGAGTTATCGATTGCGACAGGCAAATGAGAACTATTGCGACTGAAGTCAATGACCAGTTCACATGTTTTCAATGCGTTCAGCTGGAGGTTGTTAGCTTTATTCCACTGAACCACATTTTGAATCTGCTCTGTAAGAGGATTCATCATTGTTACTGATGAGACCAATGATGGTGGTATCATCGGCGTATTTATCAAATTAGAGTCAGAGGAAGACACACAATCGTGAGTGTACAGTGTAAAAAGTAAAGGACTCAAAATACATCCCTGAGGAGATCCGGTGCTCACAGAAACAACATCTGAAAAACAGTCATTGATTTTCACTCTCTGAGATCTGTCTGTTAAAAAGCTAAAAATCCATTTACACATGGCAACACTTAAGCCTAGTGTATACGTTAGCGGTTGCGGTGGACCTACGTAAGCACAATTGATGTTATACTGGCGCGTTCCCCTTACGGAGTTTTGAGGAGAATGTTGTAATCCTACAACAAACCACATGAGGGCGATCACACAGGAGCGGTCCCATTTACGCTGCTACTTTGTCCTCTTCAGAACAACAATAGCAAACAAAGCTGTTTGAGCTCATTACACGTGTTTCTACTGTAGGTTTATGTGATAGTTTTATGGATTCATTATTTTATAAGTCATTTCAACTGTGATGCTGTGAATAAAGACACAGTTCTTGTTGGAAACATAGTTATTATTAAATAGTTTTCAGCACAAACAGCAAAACAATAATAGTGGTAAATATCTGAGACAAACATGAACGATTTACGAGTGCAGGAGGAAAGCAACAAACGCAGCTAAGATTCAAACAAAGACAGGAACAGTGCAAAACAAACGACTGCACAGTTTATAAGTTATATATATGTTAGATAGTCCACTGTCTCCTGTATATCAGGCTTTGAGCCCAAACTGCTTTTCCTTCGAAGCACAAAGCTCTCTGCTCCATAGTGCCTCGTCCATTGTCCCTGCTGCAGCCGCTTCATGCTTCCTTCCAATACACACACACGGACCAATCACAGCAGAGATTCCTTGCGGCGACCCTTACGTAGTTAGAAAATTTCGATGCTGCGCGGCAGGCGACGTAAGGGCCTTGCGGTGACCAACGCGTTGCGCAAGTGACGTCACGTCACCTCCGTAAGCTCCGCGAGTATAAACTAGGCTTTAAACCGAGAGACATGAGCTTTTCAATCAGTTTACCTGGGACAAGGAAATTAATATGAACTCTATGGTTTTCTCTGTCCTGTTTTAAACCTGTCTTAAACCTGTTTGTCTTCTCCCCCAGCTCCCTGATGGGGTGAACGTCTCCAAAGAAGCCCGCAGAGCCATCTCACAGGCGGCCAGTGTCTTTGTGTTGTACGCCACCTCATGGTAACTTCAGGAACTTTTTCTTCTTCTGATTTCCAGCAGACTGGGTGCCTCTCAGGGCATAGCTGCCTTTTGCGTCCGGAGGCTCCTTGCCTATAAAAAAAAATGCAGCACAGCTGCATACACAAAGTCCAAGACCATTTTCACCACCACAGTAACTGAAACTAAAATAACCATACACCCCAGCGCTAATCCCCATCCCAAACCCTTCTCTACCCAATTTTCTCTTTCAGTGTTTCCTCCAAATCCTTTTTTTTTTGCCCTATCTAGGATCATAATTTCACGGTCTGATTTTTCATGAAGCGCTGTTTCACTGTTGATGATGAAGGCAATGAAAGTCAGGAAGAAGTGTCCTCTGAACTTTTATTATTCTTTTCTTCCACTTCCTTAGCACGCTTTTCTGCATATGATATCTTCGACTCTTCTCTTAAACAACACACTTTGACTTCAAGCTGTTTCCGTGGACAGTCTATAGATCCAGCACTATGCTTTCCTGAACAATGTACACATTCAGGTTCTTTGTTAGTCATCTCAGTCTTCATTCGCAGTAGCACATTGTTTGGTGATAGCAGTCATACCAACAGGAAATGTTTCTTCCACGCTTGACTGACCAGATTCACTTGACAAACTTTTCTTTTTCCCCTTCTTTTTGTGCTCCATTGCTTTACTTGAATCCTCACTTTCAGATTCCCGCGCTGACTCCATTTCCTCCTGCTCCAGATGCATGGCTCTCACCATCCTTCTGTCTCTAACTTGAACTACAGCTGCACTCCTTTACATGGACACGTGTGTGTCTCTCTGCGTGTTTGCTTCTCTTGTGTGCGTGTCACACGTGTGTGCGTGTCACACGTGTGTCTCTGTGAACCTTCAATATTAATTAAATGTATTCTTGTATAGCCCTAAATCACAACAGTAGTTATCGCAGAGGACTTGTCAAAATCGCCAACACAGATCAGAGAATCAAACAGTTTAAACACAAAAAATAGAACACATTGATTCCATAGGGGGAGTTGATAAATGTCCATAAATGTTGTAGAATCTTGAGTGTCCTGGATCATCACCATGTAGATGTGTGTGAGAGTAGTATGTGTGTATGTTATGTCTGTTCTGCTTCCTTCAGTGCAAACAACTTTGCGATGAAGGCAAAGAGGAAGACTCTGAACGCGGGCGACGTGATGTCGGCGATGGAGGAGATGGAGTTCGAGCGCTTCATGGAGCCACTCAGGGAGGCTCTGGAAGGTGTGTGATGTCACAGCCTTACAAAGTGAATGTGATGACGTCACACTAAGCTCAGCCCTGTAATCGTATCATGTCACTCTCCCACTATGACAAGGGTCACCAACCCGTGGTCACCAACACCCTCCTGTCCCTCACCTCCTTCAGAGTCCACCCCCCCATCCCCGACTGGCTCCCTGAAGCTTTAAAAAATGTATGCAAATAGTGGGGGAGGGGTATATTTGATTTTTTTTTTGTTTAGGACGAAAATGTGCATAATAAATATTTAAATTCAAAATTATGCAAGTATGTGCACTTTCAGGAAAATATCTGATTTTTGCACGATATTTCTACAATTTAATCAACGCAAAACTGAATGGAAGTTAAACTTGGTGTGTCATTCTCTCCAGGATGCTCTGTAGGGAAAATAACCATTCAATCATGAATGCTTATCATTTATTTGTAGCCCATACTTAGTAATTTTGATAGTAGGCTTATATAGGTAATATTCACTTAAAGCCTGTGTTGCCTTCATCTAAGCCTTATATAAGGCTATAAATTTTTTGTGGCTCCAGACAGATTTGTTTTTAGTTTTGTTTGCACATTTTGTGTTTCTGATAGAAGGGGGAAGAGGAGGAGCCTGAGGCCCCATCCACACGTAGCCCAGTATCTGCTAAACTGCAGATATTTTTCTTGGTTTGCACCTGTCATCCACATGACACAGCATCACAAACGAATATATAGAAAAAACTCTGGGCAAAGTGGAGATTTTTGAAAACTCTGTTTATGTATTTGCGTGTAGACCGAGATAACCAGAGTTTTGCATTTTCGCACGTCACAGTATGCCCCCAAAACGACAACAAACAAAACATGTGACCTCTGATCACTGAAGAAGGAACTTACTGCCCTAGAAACTGCTCGCTGAACCAAAACAGGAGCTAAACCAGGGCTGAGGACTGGGGTCAGTGCTTGTAAACATGTCTTTACTCTGAGTTTCTTCTATGTCAGCATCAAAGCTCCGCCTACTTCTGTGGTTTTTTCCCCAACACAGAACGTCCAAACATCTGCATTTTCCATCACGTGTGCGTCATTGAAAATGCAGATGTTCGGTTATGTGTGGATGCAATTTATTTTATAAACAAAGGGGGGGGGGGAATATTCGTTTTTAAAAATGCCATGTCCACACGTAGCCGGGTATTAGGGACAGGAGGAGCAGAGCTCAAAGCTGTGGACCAGGAAACACTGGTTCTTGGGCCACTTGTAGGCCCCAGGCTGTAGTTTGCCCTTGTTTCTCATTTCAGTTTGCTTTTTGTAACTGGCTTTATTTTTTTCTAGTTTACAAGAAGGGTCAGAAGGGAAAGAAGGAGGTGTCCGAGCAGAAACGAAAAGACAAGGAGAAAAAGGACTGTGAAAATGAGCTGGAGGAGGAGGAGGAGCAGAGAATCGAGGAGGAAAATGAGGAAGAGGAGGTGGAGAACTGATCGAGGAGGTGGAGTACTGCTTCGATTCCACCACAATCCAAGCAGATCCTTTACTTCATTAAATGTATAATTTTTACATTTTGTTTTGTTTGTCCAAATCTGAGGTGCGGGTCCAGTATCGGTGCTTCACACCCACCACCCCTGGTGTGCCACTGCAGAGCTAACTGCAGATGCTCCGGAGGAAAATCCACTGGACTTTTTCATTGTTGATTCCTTCAGTTTGTCCTCATTGCCTTTGAAACTGTTCACGAAGAGCCAGGAGCACAACTGTTCAATTTATTAGTTTTTAAGACCTGTTCCTAGAGCTGTAGATTAAACTTTTTCTGTTTTTTTACATTTAATAAACTAAAATAAAGTGTGACTGTTTCTGCCGTTCGTCGATGAGATGTTCAGGGAGGTGCCTCTAGGAGGCATCACAAATGGATGCCTAGGCCACCTCAACTGGCTCCTCTCCACGTGGAGTAGCTGCTCCAAGCTCCTACTGTGTGACCGAGCTCATGACCGGAGGTGAGTGAGGGAACATGGAGCTCTGACTGCGACCAGAGGGGAGGGAGATGAAACCGTTCCCTCTCAGCTGGTATTTCCCACAGTGACCAAAGAACATGAAACCATTATCCTCTAGTTCAGGGGTCGGCAACCCTTGGCTCCGGAGCCGCATGTGGCTCTTGAGTGCTCCTGGAGTGGCTCCTGGAGCCTTTTCAAACATGTCCATCATTCAATGGAGTGTGAGGGCTATATTTTATTTCTAGTTTGAATGTGGTTTCAGTAGAAGGAAAAACAATCTTTACGTTTTTAAATGCTGTAAAAATGTGTATAAGTAATATTTAATTTCAACATTTCTGTCAACGTAGTGCGTCATATCCTATGACGCGCGGTCACGCGGCCCCGCCCCATGCGGCCGCTGTTGTAAACAAACCGGCGTGTGTGCATGATAGACTGTAGGTGCGCATGGATCCCAAAGCTAAAACGAGAAAGAGTCGATAACAAGACTGGACTAAGAATGACAATGAACATTTTCTTTCAGTCAATGAGGAAGGACTGCTTCATGTTTGTAATGAGAAGTTTTGTGGCAACACGAGGAACAATGACAGGCAAAACACCGTACACGGTGATTACGTGAAGGATTCATTCATCAAAAATTCAGAGCACCTATTTTCAGACTTCAAAACCTTCTCAAAGACGGTGAAAGAAAAGGCCATTAAGGATATTAATTCAGCTCCAGCAAACTTCAGCCTGTGACGTGATGAATATGAGCAGACAGTGATGCAGGTATGTGACCTCTGAGCCCAAAGACCGCGGTAACGCTATCCCTGGTTGAGTCAACACGGGGAGCCAGAAAACCGGAAGTGCGCCTCTTTCAGTTGCACGGTAAAGGCACGATCAAGGTGCCTTCAAATGCAGCCAGTGAATACAGACAGTGACATATATGTCACACAACGAAATGGAAGAAGAAAGTTAAATCACTAATAAATTATCGTTGAGCTGTGTTGTCAATAAAACATGATGATGATGTTGTTGTTGTTGTTGTTGTCGTCACTTTGATGTGATTTTGGAAGTGAAGGTGTTAATTGTGACCTTGGACTAATTTCAGTTAACATTGTACCAAATTGCCACCTTTGTATGTGACTAATAAATATTCATCTCAACTTGTGTTTCGGGTATTTTCTTGGTCATCTGATAAAGGGGCAAAAAAAAGATAATCTGATAAAGGGTACTGCCATGAGGCAAGATGGTCAGCAGATGGCGTCAATGGACTTTGTATGATCTCGGAGTCCCCATTAAAAGTTACAATAAAAATGAAAAATAAAATATCTAATATTACAAAGGAGTGCAAGATACACACGTACATAATACAAAAGCCCTTGTAGGTATATAGTACAGGCCAACTCACAGAAGATGCTACCTACATTATTTATAATGTGCTCTGACTCCAAACGGTCAGTAGATGGTGCTATCATCTCAGTATATTCATACGACAAACGTGTCCTCCACACACGAAAGAACATGCAGTTCAAAATAATATTGTCAATACAAAAACTCAACACATTTCAAGTGCACACACCCCACTTGACGTGTGGCCCAGGTTTGAACCACATCTATGAAGGTACTGGACAAAAATAACACCCCGGAGGCCAAATCACTCCTGGAACATCAAAAATAATATGTAACAAATATCAAACAGTATTGTCAATACACAAACTCAACACATTTCAAGTGCACACACCCCACTTGACGTGTGGCCCAGGTTTGAACCACATCTATGAAGGTACTGGACAAAAATAACACCCCAGGAGGCCAAATCACTCCTGGAACATCAAAAATAATATGTAACAAATATCAAACAGTATTGTCAATACACAAACTCAACACATTTCAAGTGCACACACCCCACTTGACGTGTGGCCCAGGTTTGAACCACATCTATGAAGGTACTGGACAAAAATAACACCCCAGGAGGCCAAATCACTCCTGGAACATCAAAAATAATATGTAACAAATATCAAACAGTATTGTCAATACACAAACTCAACACATTTCAAGTGCACACACCCCACTTGACGTGTGGCCCAGGTTTGAACCACATCTATGAAGGTACTGGACAAAAATAACACCCCAGGAGGCCAAATCACTCCTGGAACATCAAAAATAATATGTAACAAATATCAAACAGTATTGTCAATACACAAACTCAACACATTTCAAGTGCACACACCCCACTTGACGTGTGGCCCAGGTTTGAACCACATCTATGAAGGTACTGGACAAAAAATAACACCCCAGGAGGCCAAATCACTCCTGGAACATCAAAAATAATATGTAACAAATATCAAACAGTATTGTCAATACACAAACTCAACACATTTCAAGTGCACACACCCCACTTGACGTGTGGCCCAGGTTTGAACCACATCTATGAAGGTACTGGACAAAAATAACACCCCAGGAGGCCAAATCACTCCTGGAACATCAAAAATAATATGTAACAAATATCAAACAGTATTGTCAATACACAAACTCAACACATTTCAAGTGCACACACCCCACTTGACGTGTGGCCCAGGTTTGAACCACATCTATGAAGGTACTGGACAAAAATAACACCCCAGGAGGCCAAATCACTCCTGGAACATCAAAAATAATATGTAACAAATATCAAACAGTATTGTCAATACACAAACTCAACACATTTCAAGTGCACACACCCCACTTGACGTGTGGCCCAGGTTTGAACCACATCTATGAAGGTACTGGACAAAAATAACACCCCAGGAGGCCAAATCACTCCTGGAACATCAAAAATAATATGTAACAAATATCAAACAGTATTGTCAATACACAAACTCAACACATTTCAAGTGCACACACCCCACTTGACGTGTGGCCCAGGTTTGAACCACATCTATGAAGGTATTGGACAAAAATAACACCCCAGGAGGCCAAATCACTCCTGGAACATCAAAAATAATATGTAACAAATATCAAACAGTATTGTCAATACACAAACTCAACACATTTCAAGTGCACACACCCCACTTGACGTGTGGCCCAGGTTTGAACCACATCTATGAAGGTACTGGACAAAAATAACACCCCAGGAGGCCAAATCACTCCTGGAACATCAAAAATAATATGTAACAAATATCAAACAGTATTGTCAATACACAAACTCAACACATTTCAAGTGCACACACCCCACTTGACGTGTGGCCCAGGTTTGAACCACATCTATGAAGGTACTGGACAAAAATAACACCCCAGGAGGCCAAATCACTCCTGGAACATCAAAAATAATATGTAACAAATATCAAACAGTATTGTCAATACACAAACTCAACACATTTCAAGTGCACACACCCCACTTGACGTGTGGCCCAGGTTTGAACCACATCTATGAAGGTACTGGACAAAAATAACACCCCAGGAGGCCAAATCACTCCTGGAACATCAAAAATAATATGTAACAAATATCAAACAGTATTGTCAATACACAAACTCAACACATTTCAAGTGCACACACCCCACTTGACGTGTGGCCCAGGTTTGAACCACATCTATGAAGGTACTGGACAAAAATAACACCCCAGGAGGCCAAATCACTCCTGGAACATCAAAAATAATATGTAACAAATATCAAACAGTATTGTCAATACACAAACTCAACACATTTCAAGTGCACACACCCCACTTGACGTGTGGCCCAGGTTTGAACCACATCTATGAAGGTACTGGACAAAAATAACACCCCAGGAGGCCAAATCACTCCTGGAACATCAAAAATAATATGTAACAAATATCAAACAGTATTGTCAATACACAAACTCAACACATTTCAAGTGCACACACCCCACTTGACGTGTGGCCCAGGTTTGAACCACATCTATGAAGGTACTGGACAAAAATAACACCCCAGGAGGCCAAATCACTCCTGGAACATCAAAAATAATATGTAACAAATATCAAACAGTATTGTCAATACACAAACTCAACACATTTCAAGTGCACACACCCCACTTGACGTGTGGCCCAGGTTTGAACCACATCTATGAAGGTACTGGACAAAAATAACACCCCAGGAGGCCAAATCACTCCTGGAACATCAAAAATAATATGTAACAAATATCAAACAGTATTGTCAATACACAAACTCAACACATTTCAAGTGCACACACCCCACTTGACGTGTGGCCCAGGTTTGAACCACATCTATGAAGGTACTGGACAAAAAATAACACCCCAGGAGGCCAAATCACTCCTGGAACATCAAAAATAATATGTAACAAATATCAAACAGTATTGTCAATACACAAACTCAACACATTTCAAGTGCACACACCCCACTTGACGTGTGGCCCAGGTTTGAACCACATCTATGAAGGTACTGGACAAAAATAACACCCCAGGAGGCCAAATCACTCCTGGAACATCAAAAATAATATGTAACAAATATCAAACAGTATTGTCAATACACAAACTCAACACATTTCAAGTGCACACACCCC